TATTTTCTGTAGAGAAATCCGTTGAACCGCAATCTCATACTTTAGATCAATTGCAACTCAAATGTTACATTGCTCATTAGCTGAAATTGAATTTTTTTTTCAAAATCCATAAAGTTCTTTGGTTTACGTGTATAACTGACATTATTTGACACATCGATATTACTTTGATTTGTGGAATATAATTATGATGTATTTAATTTGTTGCAAATTAAGACACTGTCGGTTGTTTTACCGTCATAAAATTCCCCGATCCACTAAAACCACAAAGTTACACCTCACATCAACCGTCGTATTCCGTGTCGATGTTCAGTTTGAAATTTACTTTGCATTAAATTATTTAAATTCAATGTTTTGTAAAATTCCATACACTCGCTCAACGTAGCCTTGTCATTTCCTTTCACATTTAGCAACATCAGCTTTGGAAAAGCTGCATCCTCAAATGTGCTGCAACAAAATGACATTAGTATTTACTTGTCACCAATGCCATGTATAGTGCATCACTGGAAACAGGACAAGGCAAGTATTAAAGCATTCTAATGCTTTCATAAAGCAAGTACAAAAATATACAATATGATCGCTTTCTGCCATAGGGATACAATGTAATTGGGTTAAACTCATCCAATTTGCCTGCAACCAGCATGTTTTCCTTTAGCAAGCATTACACATGAAAATTTCACATGCGTTATATGAAATAAAAATAATCTAAAACATAATATATTTTGAAGCCTTATTGTGGCCAGCAATTAGGTAATCAATGTCATTGTGATTATATGGTCGGATCAACACACAGCTATGAGATCCACATGTTAGCGGAAATGGAACCTGAGATGTTGTGTGTCTTTGTCTCTCGCCATCCAGTGCCAATGGCCTGCATTCCAGGTCATTGTAATGTACATGTGTTAGTGACAAAAGTAGGTCAAGCAGACGTACAGAATCATTACTTTACATAATAAAACATATCAATTACTTCACTGACCAATTGGCTGTATATAGGTAATATTGGTATCGAGGAGAGGGATCTTTGTAACAGATTCCTTTCAACTGTCTACCTTATTGATAAATTTCAAAATATTTGATTTAGCTCAGTTCTTGCGTCACAGCTAATGTAAGAAAGGATTTTTCAATATTTTTACTTTTGTCGTTATCTTTTTTTAAGCTCAGAAAAAGCCTAAGACTAGTACTTTTTATCTCATATGAAATGAAATCTCACTTATGATAATAAATACTTTAATTTGTAAAGTTATATATCAGTTATGCCTTTGAAAGACAATACCGCTTAAGAAATAATCAAAGTGTGGGCGTGTATTATGGTTTATTATATAAGAATTAGAGAAAATAATTAAAGAAGGTCGCGTGTGGCCTCAGTTGAATATTTCTCCAATATTTTCGAATCCCGAGTTATATATTCCACCATAATGTACTGTGCTGCTACCGCTGCGTTCTGTGTATCGGCCACTGCGCTATATCTAACGCCGGACCGAGTTGTCGCCCTTACCGGTAATTCCTATGTACTTTCACTTTGTAACGAAGAAAAACATGACGTTGTTCCACGGACGAACACAGAATTTTATCATTTTACTGCAAGTTGCCACTGCCCCCCATCGTGTAAGTGGGTCCCAATGACTCGTATTGATAAAGACAATTCCCCGATAACGTCTTGAGACGGATAATGAACTTTAAATAACTTTTTATTGTGTCGAATCGGGAATCACAATTTTCCCCGCTGAACCGCGTGGTTTGAACTTAACATATTTCTTACCATTTCTGCCAACTTAATTATTTTCGCCTAGTCGGCTATTAATATTATTATTAACACTATTACATTTAGTATAGTCATTTTATTGCATTCTATTGCCACTGACATTTCATAAAGACTACATGTGTGATTTTCTCCTAATTAAGGAGCACCCCAGTAAATGAGGTAGTTTACATTTTCAGAATTATGAGTGTAATCTATAATTTCTGTAGAATTGAGACATATTTTGTTTTGTTACAGTTTTTTACCCTCTCCGGAGGTTTTGTGCTAAAAGAACTTAATCCTCTCCGGAGGTTTTGTGGGAAAGGAGACCTCTCTGGAGGTTGTGTATTGGAACAAGCCCTCTCCGGAGGCACTGTACACTACTTGAACTTAATAATAAGCTTCAACGTTATCTGGAGTTCCTGTTTTATTTCTTTCAAACGAGTGCAACAGCACAGTGAAAAAACGATTCACCGGCAGTTCTATACTACAACGGTATTTACAGCGGTTATACAACGTATATCCGGAAGTCAACTCTGCGGTCATGTCTACTCGCATCCGCAAGCAAACCCCCAGGGGTAGAGGACTATATGATGATATCAAATCTGACTATCAGAAACATTTAGTACCTAAACGTCAGGAGTTAGAGGTACTCATTAATCAAGCAACACACTTGTCACAAATGTCCCGCAGCGACATCAATATCTACAAAAACCCTCTGGATTCCACATTCCAAGAATATCAAGAAATGTCAGCGGAGTTTATGAGATTTCTATCGAGAAACCGCTCAGAGGAAAGTGAAACTGAACTTTCATCGCAGAACTTGGTTTACGGTGTCAAATACGACAAATACACCATGGCGGTTATGAACATATCGGCACATCTCTCCGAGCGAGTTCGATACATCCTCTAAACGTAAGGTATATTTCGGGGGAGTGTCGCCGTTGACGTCTTCAAGTTTTGGCTCGACCAGACGCCGTACTCTACCTCAGACCCCCAATCGGTCACCCTTACCTATGAGTGCTGTTAACTCTGGTCCACCCTCCGCGGTTCCCACACCTACAGTTGCTGGATCCTCTCATCCGTCCGCGTTGAACGCCAATGCTCCGTCGTTTTCGCCGTCACCAGCTATCAGTAGCCAGGTAATGTTTACAAAGTATTTATTGAAAAAGGACATTTTGTCGTCCCGTCTCACCATATTCAACGACAACCCGGAGCACTACATAATATGGCGGTCCAGCTTCAGAAGGGTGGTAACCGACCTCAGTGTCTCATCGGAGGAGGAGTTGGATTTGCTAATGAAATGGTTGGGGCCAGAATCCCTGAAACAAGCGATCAGCATCAGATCGGCATACCCCCACGATCCTGAGGTTGGTGTCTCACGGAAATGGGAACGTCTTGTCGATCGGTACGCGAGTCCAGAAACTATCGAAGCGCGTATCAGGGCTAAGGTGGCAGCTTTTCCGAAGTTGTCTAACAAAGACTCTAGCAACTATACGAATTATTAGACTTAGCGTCCGAGGTCCAAGCTCGGAAGAGTGATCCCAATTACACAACTCTATTGTCATATTATGACTCATCAACGGGCGTTAACCAATTAGCCTCCAAACTTCCGACACATCTGCAGGAAAAGTGGAGGAACGAGGGAATACGATATAAGAGAAACAATTGCGTATACTTCCCGCCTTTTGTCGTGTTCGTCGATTTTGTTCGCAACATCGCTAAGGCAAGAAACGACCCGGGTTTCAAGTTCGAACAGAATGAACCATCGAACGCTAAGCCAGTGAAGGTTCCGTCGCAAAACCGAGTAAACAATCCCCCGAACACCATGATCTCTGTGCGCAAAACGGACGTCGGGAAAACGCCTTCCGTGCCTCCAGCGCCACCGCTCTGCCCTCTGCATCAGACCAATCATAGTTTGAACAAGTGTAGAGGGTTTCGTGATAAGCCCATTGGCGAGCGAAAGCAGATCCTTAGAGATAATTCTATTTGTTTCAAGTGCTTCGTAAACGAGAAACACGTGTTTAGACTCTGCAAGGCTACGGTAAAATGCGACGTCTGCAGCAGCAATAAACATCCGTCGGCAATGCACGTGGATAAGGTCGTAACGTCCGTATCAAATTATGGAGGGGAGAGTCCGTCGACCGAGATCACCCACGTGGATGCTAACTGCACTCAGGTCTGTGGAAACGTACGCGGGAGAAGTAAAACATGTGCTAAGATAGTTCTAGTTAATGTTTACCCCACCGCTAAACCGGAATGTGCTCTCCGACTTTACGCTATTGTGGACGATCAGAGCAATCAGACTCTCGCAAGATCATGTTTTTTCGATCATTTCGTGGAAGACGATGGCCACGTGAATTATACCCTCTCTTCCTGTGCGGGCAGTGTATCGGTATCCGGCCGCAAGGCATCCGGCTACATAGCGGAGTCGTTAGATGGTCAGACATTAACTCTGCCTTTTCTTGTGGAATGTAACAACATTCCCGATTCATACCACGAAATTCCTACTTCGGACGCTGCGTTACACCATCCACATCTACGCGACGTAGCGGACGTTATTCCTCCACTGGATCCTCACGCGGAGATCATCCTTCTTTTGGGACGCGATTTGCCAGTTGCGCATCACGTCGAAGAACAGCATATAGGTCCACACAACGGTCCTTATGCTCAAAAGCTTAGACTCGGATGGGTTCTGATCGGTGAAATGTGTTTGGGCAACATTCACCAAAATCCTCACGTCACCGCAAATAAAACGTACACGTTGAGAAATGGCCGCCCTTCCTTGCTTGAACCATGCCCGAACTGCTTTGAATTTGAGGGCGGGAAACCTATATTCTCATACCCGATATTCGCGAAAACTCCCCACGACGACAAACCTGGTCTATCCACCGAAGATAAGGAGTTTCTGCAGATCATGGACTCGGAATTCCACAAGAACTCTGAGGGCAACTGGACGGCTCCACTGCCCTTCAAATCAGGAAGAACACCTCTTCCCAACAACAGAGCTCAAGCGTTCCGTAGAGCTAAGTCACTGGATTGGAGTCTTCGCAAGGACCCAGTAAAACGCGCCCACATGTTCGAATTCATGGGCAAGATCTTATCCTGCGGGCACGCGTTGGTTGCACCCGAACAACCAGAAAGTACCGAACGTTGATATCTGCCACTCTTCGGAGTCTACCACCCGAAGAAACCGGGAAAGATAAGAGGCGTCTTCGATTCTTCCGCTAAATGCGACGGTACTTCGCTTAACGACGTTATCATGATAGGTCCGGACTTAGTAAACAGCATATTAGGGGTCCTAATCAGGTTCCGCAGGCACGCAGTGGCGATAACTGCCGTCGTAGAACAGATGTTTTACTATTTCAAGGTCGAGGAGAAGCATCAAGACTACCTTCGCTTCTTCTGGTACCAAGGACACGACTTCAACAAACCGTTGCTGGAATACAGGATGACAACTCATGTATTCGGCAAATCGCCAACGCCAGCTGTAGCAACTTTCGGTCTTAGGAGAGCAGTTGAGCAGGCCGACACCGACGTGAAGGAATTAGTCACCCGTGACTTTTACGTCGATGATGCCTTAACCTCAACTCCGGATAGCCAGTCTGCTATCTCGCTAATGAAGATAACTCGCGACGCTCTGCAAGGGAACGGCAACATCCGGTTACACAAAATAGCCTCAAACGACAAGGCGGTATTGGAAGCATTTCCCACTGAAGATCTGTCAGGAGATCTTAAGGATCTGGATCTTCAAGCGGACTCGACACCACTGCAACGCAGCCTCGGTTTATATTGGAATTTGTCAGAGGACACATTCACCTTCAAGTCGGACATGGACAACAAACCGTATACTAAACACGGGTTACTTTCTACCATTAATAGCGTCTTCGATCCTATCGGTTTCGCTGCTCCCGTGGTGTTAAAAGGGAAGCTCTTGTTCCGAGACCTGGCCGCGACCTCCGACTGGGATGAACCGCTCGCGGAGGACAAACGTCATGAGTGGGAGTCGTGGCAAAACTCCTTTACACGGCTCAATGGTTGTCGTGTCCCCAGGCAATATCTCAAAGACGGTCAGGATAGCTCTGTTGAGGAATTGCACATTTATTCCGATGCGTCTAAAGAAGCTATTGCGGCAGTGGCGTACTTCTGTCATGGAGACAAGGAGAGTCGCGTCTCTTCTTCATTCATTCTTGGGAAGGCCAAGGTTGCTCCCGCCCATGGACATACTATTCCGCGACTCGAACTATGTGCGGCGGTGCTGGCTACCGAATTAGGCCAGGTCGTCTGTGAACAGCTGGACGTCGATCCCGCAACTATTCACTATCACACGGACAGCAATGCAATCCTGGGGTATATCTGCAACAAGGTCCGCAGATTCTACGTCTACGTAGGGAACCGTGTTGACAGGATCCTCAACGTCTCTTAACCCACGCGATGGGCACACATCAGCGCCGATAAAAAACCAGCGGACATCGGGACACGGTGCATCGAAGCTGATAAACTCACTGGCAGCTTGTGGCTCGCAGGTCCTTCAGGTACAGTAGACAAATCAGAAACGGACAATCAGGAGTACGATCTTATCTCACCAGCAAAGGACTCGGAAGTCCGACCAAATGTGACTTCACTCAAGACCATTAGTTCCACCAAGGAACGTCTCGGTCCTGAAAGATTCAGTAAATTCTCGACTTGGACCTCGCTCAACCGGGCCCTTGCCTTGTTGATTTCCTACGCCGGACATCACAGTTCGCTGGATGGAAACAAACGGTACGAATCTCTCGAGGCTCTGGAAAAGGCCAAAACGTGTATTATCCGGGAGACTCAGCAGGAGGCTTACGCTAAGGAAATTAAGAAACTTAACAATTCCGAGGCGATTTCGAAGGATAGTCCTATCGCGCCGCTTTCACCGTACTTGGATGAGGAAGGCATCCTCAGAGTAGGTGGACGTTTGAACAAGTCTGGGTTTCAACTTCTCGAATCCAATCCTGTGATAATACCAGGAAAACATCACGTGGCCACACTGTTAGTGCGACATCATCATTCGCAGGTATACCACCAGGTTCGTCACTTCACCGCGGGTGCTATTCGTTCGGCAGGATATTGGATCACCGGCTCTAAGAGGCTCGTCTCGTCTCTTCTTAACAAGTGTGTTCGATGTCTCCGATTGAGAGGAAAACCTGTTGTTCATCTCATGGCCTATTTACCACAGGATCGTCTCACGCCATCTCCTCCGTTCACTTATGTCGGTGTAGACATATTCAGCCCATGGTACGTCTCGTCTCGGCGCACTAGAGGAGCTCACTCTAAACAGAAACGCTGGGCAGCTCCCTTCACTTGTTTGGTCACGAGGGCTGTCCACATCGAGGTCGTCGAAGACATGTCTTCATCATCCTTCATTAACGCTCTACGACGGTTCAGTGCTATTCGCAGGAACGCTAAAGTCTTCCGGTCAGGCAGGGGAACGAACTTTGTCGGATGTACTGGCCCCGTTGGAATACCTGCCATCAATGTTGAGGATACTCCGGTAGCCAATCACCTTCTCCGCAATGGGACAGTTTGGCGCTTCAATCCCCCTCATGCGCTCATATGGGTGGGATTTGGGAGAGGATGATAGGTACAGCTCGTCGCATCCTCGATTCCATGCTGATGGATGTTAAGGGAAAAGGCCTCACACACGAGATTCTGACGACCTTGATGGCTGAAGTTACCGCGATCATCAGCTCCAGGCCACGCGTCGAGGTCTCCTCCGATCCTGAGGAACCCCACGTTCTTTCTCCTGCTACGCTTCTTACTCAGAAGTCACCTGCTGCGCCAACGTTTCCCTTTACACTCGACATTAAGGACGCTTATTGGAGTCAGTGGAAAATGGTTCAGCATCTAGCAGATCGGTTCTGGGACAAATGGAGATCGGACTATATCCAGGGGTTACAAACTAAGCGGAAATGGATCAACCCACAAACCAACCTAAACGTGGGAGACACTGTTTTGTTAAAGGACCACGACGTGTCTCGTATGGAGTGGCCTATGGGTGTCATAACACGCGTGTTTCCGTCTGGGGACGGATTGGTCAGGAAAGTGGAAGTACGTGTTTCTATAGGAGACAAGTCTGTCGTGTATGTTCGACCAGTCAAAGAGGTCGTGCTTCTTGTATCCGAAAACTGAGACTTTCATACATGATCATTGTACTTAGTGATATACCAAGAGGGGAGTGTGCTGCTACCGCCGCGTTCTGTGTACCGGCCACTGCGCTATATATAACGCCGGACCGAGTTGTCGCCCTTTCCGGTAATTCTTATGTACTTTCACTTTGTAACGAAGAAAAACATGACGNAAGACAATTCCCCGATAACGTCTTGAGACGGATAATGAACTTTAAATAACTTTTTATTGTGTCGAATCGGGAATCACAATTTTCCCCGCTGAACCGCGTGGTTTGAACTTAACATATTTCTTACCATTTCTGCCAACTTAATTATTTTCGCCTAGTCGGCTATTAACATTATTATTAACACTATTACATTTAGTATAGTCATTTTATTGCATTCTATTGCCACTGACATTTCATAAAGACTACATGTGTGATTTTCTCCTAATTAAGGAGCACCCCGGTAAATGAGGTAGTTTACATTTTCAGAATTATGAGTGTAATCTATTATTTCTGTAGAATTGAGACATATTTTTTTTCACCCTCTCCGGAGGTTTTGTGCTAAAAGAACTTTATCCTCTCCGGAGGTTTTGTGGGAAAGGAGACCTCTCTGGAGGTTGTGTATTGGAACAAGCCCTCTCCGGAGGCACTGTACACTACTTGAACTTAATAATAAGCTTCAACGTTATCTGGAGTTCCTGTTTTATTTCTTTCAAACGAGTGCAACAGCACATGTACAAACATACGTTGGTTATATCTATTCTACCGAGTGAAATGTAATAAATGTCTTTTTCGTGTCTACATCAGTGTTAAGACGCCTATTATAAGCAAAGTGACCTAGATTATCTGAATGTTTAAATTAGGAAGGTCTTTTGCCCGCGCTAATATTTGCCACATGATCCCTGTATGTCTTCATGTCACAAATAGCAGCGTTTCTTTTTATCGATTCTGTCCCTGTGAGCAGTTGTCCCATTTTGTGTGGTTTTTCATTTTCTGCCGCCATTTGGTCGATATATGATAGACAATAAACGCTGACATCAATCAATAAAATCCCCCCCCCCCCCCTCTATCGACATCGGTCGTCAACGCATGAAATCAGTATTTGAGAGATTTCAAGTCACCTTCATTGTAAGTTTAGTGGAACATTCTCATCGTGAGCTTGACAGGTAAAAAGTAGATGTTTACATTTTTTCATTTTTTTCCCGGTAGCAAATCTTCAAATTCATACTGAATAGAATTTTGGAAGAGCGTTGTTCAGTTGGAAAATAATCAAAGGGTAGAATACCATTATTGGGAGAAGGTTGTTAAGTGCAATGTTGTAGAATTTACATTCTAACAAGTACATGTATAGCTATACATCTAGTGAATATTCACACATTGTTTGATTTGACCTACTGGCCTCAATACTGGACAGCGAAGCATTCTCATTTAGATTCAAATAATGTTACAGAATGCTTTTCAATCTCTTGGATGGAAATTGGGTCTCACTATCGGTATAGTAGACAATTCCACTTGCATGAATTCCGTTTCAAGTGGTAATTTCATTGCATCAGAATCTATAAATACCTTACAACATGAAACAACCGATTTTACGGTTGAATGGAAAAAGTTCGATCGCGTTGCTGAAAGCTCGAATCTTAGAAAACCTTTGCTGAATCACCATTACGGTGAATTCACACATGTATTTTATACATGAATGGCAATAAAAGTATGTCCCTACGATGAAATGACATTTGCTGTTAAAAATTATTCCCCAGATCAATATAGTATGTCTATTTCTTGTCAAATGAAGGTATCCTTTAAAGTGAGGCCATGAAAAAGTATGAATACGCCTGACTTCATGTTCCAGTATTTACTGAAAAGAACACTTACTTGAAAGGTCATTTAGAAAACAATAATTGAATACGATTGTGTGAGAAGATGTTTGTAAACCTTTGCATTCAGCTATAAATTCAATGTTTTGTGAAGTTTCCATACACTCGCTCAACGTAGCCTTGTCATTTCCTTTCACATTTAGCAACATCAGCTTTGGAAAAGCCGCATCCTCAAATGTGCTGCAACAAAATGACATTATTATTTACTTGTTACCAATGCCGTGTATGGTGCATCACTTGAAACAGGACCAGGCGAGTATTAAAGCATTATAATGCTTACATAAAGCAAGTACAAAAATATACAATATGATCGCTTTCTGCCATAGAAATAATTGCGTAAAACTCATCCAATTTGCCTGCAATCAGCATGTTTTCCTTTAGCAAGCATTACACATGAAAATTTCACATGCGTTATATGAAATAAAAATAATCTAAAACATAATATATTTTGAAGCCTCATTGTTCACCAATTCGGTCATCAATGTCATTGTGATTATATGGTCGGATCAACACACAGCTATGAGGTGGATAATCCACATGTTAGCGGAAATGGAACCTGAGATGTTGTGTGTCTTTGACCCACGCCATCCAGTGCCAATGGCCTGCATTCCAGGTCATTGTAATTTACATGTGTTAGTGACAAAAGTAGGTCAAGCAGACGTACAGAATCATTACTTTACATAATAATACATATCAATTACTTTATTGACCAATTGGCTGTATATAGATAATATTGGTATCGAGGAGAGGGATCTTTGTAACAGATTCCTTTCAACTGTCTACCTTATTGATAAATTTCACAATATTTGATTTAGCTCAGTTCTTGCGTCGCAGCTAATGTAAAAAAGGGTTTCTCAATATTTTTACTTTTGTCGTCATCTTTTTTTAAGCTCAGAAAAAGCCTAAGACTAGTACTTTTTATCTCATATGGAATGAAATCTCACTTATGATAATAAATACTTTAATTTGTAAAGTTATATATCAGCCATGCCTTTGATAGACAATAACGCTTAAGAAATAATCAAAGTGTGGGCGTGTATTACGGTTTATTATATTAGAATTAGAGAAAATAATTAAAGAAGGCCGCTTGTGGCTTCAGTTGAATATTTCTCCAATATTTTCGAATCCCGAGTTATATATTCCACCATAATGTACAAACATACGTTGGTTACATCTATTCTACCGAGCGAAATGTAATAAATGTCTTTTTCGTGTCTACAGTGTCTACATCAGTGTTAAGACGCCTATTATAAGCAAAGTGACCTAGATTATCTGAATGTTTAAATTAGGAAGGTCTTTTGCCCGCGCTAATATTTGTCACATGATCCCTGTATGTCTTCATGTCACAAATAGCTGCGGGTTTTTATCGATTCTGTCCCTGTGAGCAGTTGTCCCATTTTGTGTAGTTTTTCATTTTCTGTCGCCATTTGGTCGACAGATGATAAACAATAAACACTGATATCAATCAATCAATTGTTTACCGGTACATTTGCAGGGAGGATTTTGGAAGAGCGTTGTTCAGTTGGAAAATAATTAAAGGGTAGAATTCCATTATTGGGAGAAAGTTGTTAAGTGCAATGTTGTAGAATTTACATTCTAACAAGTACATGTATAGCTACACATCTAGTGAATATTCAGACATTGTTTGATTTGACCTACTGCCGCCAATACTGGAATTAGGAAGGTCTTTTGCCCGCGCTAATATTTGTCACATGATCCCTGTATGTCTTCATGTCACAAATAGCTGCGGGTTTTTATCGATTCTGTCCCTGTGAGCAGTTGTCCCATTTTGTGTAGTTTTTCATTTTCTGTCGCCATTTGGTCGATATATGATAGACAATAAACACTGACATCAACCAATCTATCGACATCGGTCGTCAACGCATGAAATCAGTATTTGACAGATTTACAAATACTATTTCAAGTCACCTTCGTTGTAAATTTAGTGGAACATTCTCATCGTGAGCTTGACAGGTAAAAAGTAGATGTTAATTTCTTTTTCATTTTTTTCCCGGTAGCAAATCTTCAAATACATACTGAATAGAATGCGGTTACCCTCATTCGACAAATAAAAACAGTCCTGGGACTCGCTTGTTTACCGGTACATTTGCGGGGAGGATTTTGGAAGAGCGTTGTTCAGCTGGAAAATTTTCAAAGGGTATAATACCATTATTGGGAGAAGGTTGGGTAAGTGCAATGTTGTAGAATTTACATTCTAACAAGTACATGTATAGCTATACATCTAGTGAATATTCAGACATTGTTTGATTTGACCTACTGCCGCCAATACTGGACAGCGAAGCATTCTCATTTAGATTCAAATAATGTTACAGAAAGCTTTTCAATCTCTTGGATGGAAATTGGGTCTCACTATCGGTATAGTAGACAATTCCACTTGCATGAATTCCTTTTTAAGTGGTAATTTCATTGCATCAGAATCTATAAATACATTACAACATGAAACAACCGATTTTACGGTTGAATGGAAAAAGTTCGATCGCGTTGCTGAAAGCTCGAATCTTAGAAAACCTTTGCTGAATCACCATTACGGTGAATTCACACATGTATTTTATACATGAATGGCAATAAAAG